ATGTATATCTATCATGTTTCATTTCTATTTTATTTTCTGTTTTAAATATAATGTATATTGTGTAGGTCTGTTATTTTTCGAAGGTTCTGAACTTATTGCGTCAGTGTACACCAGTTCAGAACTTACAGTGTAAAAAGAACGGACCTTACGCAATAAAGCAGAAAAAGAGAAAAAGTTACAACAGAGAGAAGAGGTGAGATGGAATATCAATGCCTTGATTGGTTACATACCTCGCTCTCGCATGTGCAGTTCATTTTTATCCACGCTGACTTCAAAGGTGCCGACAGAGAATTGCGCTACTGTATATACTGTGATACTACTTCGCGATGCGCAACTTTTGAGATGACTGATATCTTGAATATTACCGGTGAGCCGATCTTTGACGATCGCATCGTCGAGATCGAGACTCACACGTACAACCCGTTCGCCAATACAACGTTCGGGTACAACGACGAGATAAGAATACCCATACAGCAACAGGCTTTGTACACGTTGCCGTGCGAAAGTTTTCTCTACGTCGAAGGAAGATTGACGGTGAAAAAGAAAAACGATCAGACGCCAACGACGCTTGTAAATAATTGTGTGGCATTCATGTTTGATGAAATTCGATATGAACTCAACGGTGTGGAGATTGACCGCAACAGAAACGTGGGCATAACTAGCACTCTCAAGAATTACGTGTCGTATGACAAATCTTTGATTGCGCTGAAAGCTGGATGCAACACTAGATCTGACACAGAGGAAGGACACTTTAATTTTTGCATGCCGCTCGGCATGCTATTGGGCTTTTGCGAAGATTACAAACGCCTGATCAACGTTCGCCACGAATTGATTTTGAGCGCGCAACGACAATAATTGCTTGGTTGGAAATCCTGTGACGGAGTCTGAAATTGAATTATTTAAAGTACAGTGGCGGATGCCTCACGTTGCGTTAAACGAGATCAATAAATTATGAATGCTGCGAGCATTGGAAAGCGGTCGTTATCTGAGCATGAGTTTTCGCTCGTGGGATCTGTACGAATATCCTCTGTTACAGAATACGACAAAGCATTCATGGGCCGTCAAAACGGCGACTCAGCTTGAGAAGCCGCGATACGTTATCTTTGCTCTGCAGACCGGTCGAAAGAATGTCATGTCACAAAATGGTAGCGTGTTCGACGATTGTAATTTGAGTAACGTGAAACTTTATTTAAATTCAACGTTTTATCCGTACGACGATTTAAATCTGGATTTTGACAAAAAGAGATACGCCGTCTTGTTTGATATGTACGCCCGTTTTCGTAGAGCATATTATGGAATCGATTGTTTTGAAACGCTAGTCAACGTGCTCTCATTTACCGAGGAAGGACCTTTTGTAGTCATTGATTGCTCGCGACTAAACGAATCCGTCAAGAGTGCTACTGTGGACGTACGCATAGAATTTGATTGCAAGGAGAATGTGCCTGCAAATATTATAGCCTATTATCTCATCATACACGATCGCGTGGTTCAGTACAATCCGTTGACCAACGTTGTGCGCAAAATCACCTAAATGCACCTAAGTCTCCGACACGCTATAAAATATATGATTTATCGAAATCGATTGCAGTCTCGAAAAATCGTTCGCCATGATCGTATCAACGTTTGTGGATCTGCAAGGATTCATCGTTGGAAAGAAATTTATCATGAAGGAAGTAGCGGTGTTGAGAAAAGGAGCCATTCTCTCTCATTATATTTTTACATGTCCCATGCCGTAGAGTTTCTTGACAAAATCAGAAAAGTATTGCGCTTCCTGGCTTATCACCATGGATTGCAATGGGAAGATGGGACGATCCCGTACGGCATGGTGAAACGCCTGATTACGATGGCTGTAATTGCTGCGGAAGAATGTGATGACAATAAGGCTTTTATATACGTTAAAGGACGTGAAAAACGCAAATGGCTGGCTAATGTACTCGATAGCGACAACTTGACCATTGAGACCTTGGATGCTGATTACAAAGATATAGATTCTTTGAATAATCTAGATGTTACTAATACTATGCGATGTGGAAAACATGTTAAGAATTGCGCTTTACAAAATGTATTTAAAATATACAACTTGTGGTTGCAACGCCAAAAGGAATTGTATCGAGTTTAAAAATAAAATATGAGATTTCTTTTTAAAATATATTTTAATTTCTTTCTCTTCCCTGTAATACATGTAATATATGTATGAACGTATGTAAGAACGTAAAAACGCATGTAAGAACATAAAAAAACGTGAGTAAGAACGTAAAAACGCATGTAAGAACATAAAAAAACGTGAGTAAGAACGTAAAAAACGTATGTAAGAACGTATGTAAGAACGTAAAAACGCATGTAAGAACGTAAAAAAACGTAAGTAAGAACGTAAAAAACGTATGTAAGAACGTAAAAAAAAAACGCAAGTACGAACATAAAAACATATGTAAAAACATATGTATAAACGTATGTATAAATGTACGTATAAACGTATGTATAAACGTATGTATAAACTCATGACAAAGAAAATGCGTAGAAAGACCTGATAAAACGTGTTACGACACGTTCGAAATTCTTAGAAAGAGGAGGACGGCTTGACCCTTCTTCAATTTTAGAAATATTATATACGCCACAATTTATGTGGATGCGATCAGTCTTGTTTATACCTGCTTGTACGAACGATTGAAAAAATGTACTTCGCCAAAGAGAGCAGCGCATCGAACGACGTGAAGAAGGAATATAACGTGTAAGTTTCAACGTTCTATACAATAAATAACGTTTTTTCAACTTTATGTATATACACAGTATGGAACGTCGCGCGGTGCGCTTACTGAGCAGACGTTACGACCTGACGAATACGAGCTACAAGTATTTGGAAATTGGAATCAACGTTGGTCTACCGAGTTACATGAAGATCGCCCTGGGAGATCATCGCGAACACGAACTGTCGCTGTCTCTCGAAACATGGAAGGGCCTCTACGAGCAGCGATGGAATATTTACAAGATGCTGCGAAACGAATACAAGGACAATTTTATAAGCGTTGGGCCGATAACCATCAGAGTTTGCAAGCTGAACGATGTTACGCTAGTACGTCTCGATTCTTTATCCGTACACATGATGATGACCGAAACGACGCTAAAACCGTATGTTCGAGTTTGATGGGTGTATCGATGTAACGTTCGAACGATTAGTCCGACTCGTCGATACGGTCGATGCCAAATATACGTGATTCTCCAATATCGCGTCCAAGAATACTATATGCGATGGCGGCATCTTCAATGGACATCAGCTCGTCGATTGCGAGCTATTAGCTTTAATTTTTAATACGTACGAAAAATCTGTAATGTAAATAAAAATAAATTCGTTCGCATCACTATATATAATTACTTTCTATAATTTCTTTACTATAAGTACTTTCTTTCACTCCCCATCCTTTGCCTCAACGCGCTAGTATAAAATAATGTATTGTAAAAAATACGTCATAAAAAAAAGGATGTACTTTTACGGCCGCGGGGTCCGCGGCGGCGGCGACAGCGGCGGCGACCGGGGATCTTTCCCGCGCCTACGAATACCCTCCGCGGTCCACTAGCCCCATGGGTTAGACCTCGCCTTGCTTAGCCACTCTCAATCGATTAATTGTGAAACTTGGTTGTATTTAAGTATTTAAAATAATTAATAAATATTGTTTCTAGAAAAATTACATTATGCTATATCTTGGTCGCGAAAAACGGTTGGTATACCCTTTGTAACACTTTTCGTTTTATAACTATTTGTTTTTGTATTGTTTTTTGTTCATGTCGATATTTCCTTTTTTGTGACGTTTTTTGTTGTCTTGTACGTGACTGCAGTCCCCAAAATCTATGATACCTTACTGCCACTCCGCATGACGTCATACCCCCACCTCCGAAGAATCCCCACGCCCCGCGCTCCCCTCAGAGGACCCGAGTTAGAACCCGCTCAGTATACCTACTTAGGTTTGCATGTCATCATCCGTGCATATATTTTTATTGGGAAATTTCATGAAAATTAACTCGTAAAGACCCGGTGTTTCCTCGTATCTTTTCCCATTTATAATTATATCATCGTTTTTGTCCAAGGCGATACGTTTGTCGCCGAGCATCGCTCCCTCGTTGTTAAAATAAACTCCATACACAACGTTTACGGCTTTCTTACCGCTCAAGACCGCTTTCAAATATTTTTGTCCCAGCGGACCATAGCTTGTTTGCAACTTTTCTTGCCCCTCGGACGTTTGAGAGAGAGAACCACAGCCACGGCCGTTTGGGCGGCTAGGAAGGCTAAGACAAAATTAGGTATGGGCCTGAAAACTAGGAAGAGGAAAAGGAAGAGCAAGCGGATACTTCCGATAGCGAAACGCGGCGGCGTCCTACCCTATTCTTCCGCTGCTGGGCGTTCTCGGGTCGTTGGTCGGTGGAGCGGCGGGAGTCACCAAGGTCGTAAACGATAACAAAGCGGCGTAGCATCAGCTGCAAGAACTGCAACGTCATAATCACGTCATGGAAGGCCATGGCGTTTAACTCGCTCCCTACAAGCGCGGACGAGGTGTCGTGCGTAGAAAAAAAAAACATCGACGAGACATTAAAACTACCAAAAGGTGTAACTACCAACGTGCAACTGCAGCAACTTACAAATCGTATGCGCATTTCATATTTTAGAGGTATCTTTATGCGTACTATACTATCGGTGGAAGGAGTACATCGAAACGAGAGCGGTATCGTAAATTTGGATAATGCCGAGGGACCCGGTTCGCATTGAGTGGCATATGCGAAAAGGGAAAATCACGCCATATATTTCGACAGTTTCAGCAATCTTCGACCGCCGAAGGAACTCGAACGATATCTGATAAACACTGTAATCCAATACAATCGCACGCACTATCAACGCTATAATCAAAGTAATTGTGGACAACTGTGTCTACGACAGTTTTTACGAATGGTTGACAAACAATTTAAGGACCGACATTGCACCGTTTA